AGAGTAAGGAAGAGTTAAAAGGATTGAATATATAAAAAGTACACTTATTTACGCATCTATATATGCATTTCTAATTAAACAACCAAATCCGTGAACGGAATACTTAAAGTGCTTATAAAGCAATGCAGAAAATTTAAACGGATATGAGTCAAAATTTGCGCTGTTTTAAACTAAAATTTAAATTATTTCTAAACTATGCGTCTTATCAGTCTAACTCTTAAATCGATTCTGCGTGAAATAACAAATTGGAAAAATAATATGTTAAAAATACGATAATAAGTATTTCCAACGGATATGTAACAAAATATCTAAATCTTAATTCGATTCTACGTGAAATAATACATAGGAAAGTTGATCTGTTAAAAATAAGACATTAAATATTTCTGAACCTGTTATTAACAAATTGGCCTTGCTTTCATTTCACATGTTTTTTTTTTTATCTCATTTGATAATTCTAAAAAAAAACCATAGGATCTAAGACTCTGTTTGCGTAGCAATGTAGCGCACTATTTATCCTTAAAAACTTTTAAAAGTTTCGATCTATTAGTTGTATCACCTTGGGTAAGATTTAATTCGATTGAGCGTACAAAAAATACATCAAAACAATATGCCACTTTTTAGAAAGCTTGGTGTAATTTCTCCGTTCTTTCTTTCCTACCCCTTAGTAAGTTCTACAATTTGTCAATAGAAAGAACTCCCCTCACCTCGAAGTCTAAGACCCTCTCCTCCCATGGAAACAAGAAAAAGTGCATTTCAAAAAGGGGAGCTTCTTTATCTCCTAATTGCCTTTCTCTCGCGAACCCGAGTCGAAACCTATCTTAAATAATGATCCCTACTTGAAATAGTTAAACCCCGGAACCATAGTCACAGCCAACACTCCAGACTAATGGCAGTTCTTTATGTAGACAGACTATAGATTGAGATTGCAGCTCATTTCAGGGGAAAGGTGGTCGAAAGTGGCGAGTTACAAGTACTACAGTGGTTGCTACTTTTTTCCATAGTTTGTAGTGTAGTGTGCTACTTTTTAAAAGAGGTAGTGTAGTGAGTAGTGTAAACAAATAAAAAAATAACGAAACAAAGCTCAAATGCAAAAATTTTCAAATCTGATGGTGATTTGGTGCAAATCCTTCGTGGGCCGGTCAACGTGCGCAATGAGAATACCTGTGTGGCAGAGCGTTAATACGATCTACATCTGTTGGTCGGAAAAATCGTTTCAAAATCGGTCGAGTTGTTCCTGAGAAATTGAATTTTAAATATCTGACTTTTTTAAAATTCGATTTTACCGGAACTATAATGTAGTTTCCCCTCAAACTATTCAGATTGAGTCCTAGAACATGAAGATCTGATCATTAGATCAAAAGTTATTCACGGTTTTTTGCACTGTATTTTACTTCTTGGAGGATATAAAAGGCACTTAATTCACGAATATTTGATAATTTCCAATCATTTCTTAAATCCCTGTCGAGAAAAACTTAAAGTTTAAAGAACAAATTCGTAAAAAGTGGCTTAAAATAAAAAACTATTTCATATAAACATGAAATAAAACTCCTTAATATCTCCTCATATTTAACCAAGTCTTTCTTCAAAATCATGTTGAATATGGTTGAAAATAACGTTTCTCTTCTAAAAGTAACGAAGTAGTAACTTCATTACGAAAGTAGTTCGTAGTCGCTACATTAAAAAAAGTAGTTGTTAACTACAATTGTAATAAAGTAGTTGTAATTAACTACAAAGAAAATAAAGTTTTTCAGACCACTGACTCATCTATTCATTTTAGACAAAAATGACTTATAACAATTTACAGGTTTCTCATAACTATTTCTGCATTCAATTACTCAGGCACTGTCCTGAAACTATTATAAGAAATAGAAAAGTTTTTAAAAAAGTTTCATTATTAAATTTAGTTTCAATAATAAAACTTTTTATACAAAAAGTATTATAAAAAAGTTTGAATCAGTAACTATAGGCCTATGAATTGATTTTATTTCTGCTGTACTTAAGGTTATTATACTTAGCTACTGTACTGAAGGTTAAGGTTAATGACTTTGAAAGTTGAGCAAAATTTTAGTTTCTTCATACTTTAAGGCCAATATTAAAGTCACGCTTATTATACACTACACATATGTTTATTCTTTTAAGTACTACTCATTAGTATGCATTCATTAATATATATACCTCTGTAGTTTACTGTTGTCACTGTAGTATTGGCCATGGGAATGAAATGGCCGATATTCTTGCTAAGGAGGGTTGCAGGGTTACAACTCCCTCTTCCACACTTACTTTTTTGGAGTTATACTCTCTGGAAAAATCAAAAATCTCGGAGGAGTGAAAAACACCCCCAACCCATAATTGGTACAAGGGATCAAAACCGGGTTTGTCTCTTGACCTCCCGTGTGACAGACGTACCCGGACTGTTCTATCAAGGCTTGCTAGCGGTCACATCAAGTGCTTCACTTTCAACGAGGGCAGGAAAACCTTCGTCACCAGCACCAAGTGCCAAATTCATCACGTTTCTCCTGAGCACCTCTTGGATTGCATGGGATTCTCTAAGGAGGATCTCTTTAGCAATCCTCTCCTAGTCTTCGACTTCCTTACAGTCAGCGAACTCGTGGATCTTGTCTGACTCCGTCAGACAGAGAGGATAAGCAACAACAGCAGTGTTGATCGAAGTATAAGAGGATAGCCTCGTATCGAAAAGTTTTGAATGATCTTAAATGCAAAGATGAGTAATCATGTGTAAATAATTAGTGTGAACATAATAGAGCGCAAAATAACGATCAGTACGGTTGTTCACTCTTTTTATAAGAAGTATTCCTATTTGAAAATCAATGTATTTTTCTCAAAATTAGCGAGAAGTTTCAGCTTTTATCCCCCAAACAACTAGGAGAAAAAAAATTTTAGCAAAAGAAAAAAAAATCGTATTTCATAGTTTTACACAAAGAATATTTGTCAAAAATTTCAGGAAAAATAAAAATATTTAAACTATCGAAATCAGACTGATCTGCCCGATTTTTTTTAAAAAAAGAACTGACTCTTACCTTAACTTAGATTTTGTTTTTTTTTAAACGGTTTCCTTTCCAGAAATGTCATTACCTGACAGTACGGAAATTTTACCAGAATTTTTTTCTCCGCTTAGAATACACTAGTTAGTCATCTAGGTTGATATACATCAAGAGAAGCGACGCTGTGTTTTTTAGTTGTGAAACAAGTGTAATAATTGGTATTCTTTCTGTGTGTATGTTTGATTCAAAAACTAATTGTATTTTAAGATTTTGTGAATGAATTCATTCTCTAAATTAATGTTTCTTGCTTGTATTTCAAAAATAACTTAACTGATTCCTGTAGTATTTTATATTACTATAATTATAAATTTAAAGTTAGTGAATAAGAAAACTTGGGATCAAGTACTAGGGTAAAGTAGTGTAAAAGAATATTGGTATAGTGAAACTCTTGGTCTAAAGTATTTTCCATCATTTTATGACATTAAAATATTCTACAGTGAAAAAATTATTTCACGACAACAGTATATCAGTGAACAGTAATTATAACTAGTTACATATATATATATGCATCGTAAATGTCTTTTTAATAAATTTAAATGTAAAAAAAAGTCCCCTACTTTCCATACTTGCATCAATTATTATTCGATCTTCGTTTTTAAGGGGATTTTCTAATTCTATTATGTTTTCATTCAAATCGATATTTTTATTATTTTCTACTAAGCTCCAATAAATTTGCAATTTTCCGATTGGGGATCTAAAAAATATGGACAAATATCTCGAAAAATACGCATTAAATGAAAAATTTTAAAAATTAAAGTGTTTGCAAAAGCAAGTTCATGAATCAATCCCTGTTTTTGGATGGAAGGTAATATTTTCAGCAGAAAACATATTGATTCTTCAAAGAAAGCATGCAAACCTTGTGTCGGAATTTCCTTCAATTGTCACGAAAATGCTCGTATTAAAAAGCTTTTTCAAATAAAGTAAAAACCTTTCATCCTAAAAGGATTACAAATTATTTTTAAAACTTTTTTTAAAAAGTATTGTCACTTAGATAAAATGGTCCATTTTAGCTGACACTATAGATAGGATCAAGTTGCAATTGGATATTTGATGAGCATGTAAGACTTAGTGAAAATAAAATTTATAATTACCTAGATTTAAGATTATTTTCATCTTAAGACAAGCTTTATTCAAGAATTTTTTTCACGCTAAGACAACTTAGATTTAAAGTTTTTTATAAAGGTTGGTTTCCAAGGTTTCGGATTAGGGTCAAGTGCGCAGAATAGAGCAGATTGTGACAGAACTCGTTTTAAAATGAGAAGGTTTACAAGTAAACCGCATAAAAACCTTTTTAGGTTTACATTAAAAGGTTTTTGCTGAGTGAAAATAAGCCTTATTTTGCAATCTGGGTTGTGCTTAACTACAGGGAAACGCAAAAAGTAAATTTGCAGTATGAGCCATTATAATAACACTTCCCCGAATAAACATCCGCCCCCCCCCATATTTCGAACTGTCAATAAACAGATGCTGTTGTAATTGTAGTTTATTTACGTCGCCCTAGAGCTGCACAATGGTCTATTGGTGACGATCTGGGAAACATCCCTGAGGATGATCCGAAGACATGTCATCACAATTTTGATCNTTCGGTAGCCCGACGACCTGCACGCGAAGTCGAGCACTTTACGGTAGAACAGTTTAACGAGGACCAATACCGCACACCCTCGGTCCCTACGCAGACTGATCCAAGTGGTCACCCACCCTCACACTGACCGCAGCCAGTGATGCTTGACTTAGGTGATCTGCTGGGAACCGTGTCTTAACGATTAGTGCACTGCGGGACGTCAGAATCTATTAAAGTATGTTTATCAGAAAAGAACCGTTCTTTTGCGTTCAATTTCGTCATTTAAATTATCACGTGTATGAATTAATTAGCATATTTACGAGTTGTGCATTACAAAATGCGTTTTTGGGTCACGTGATAATTAAACAAAAGCGAAGACGATAAGAGGAAAATGTGCTTCATGTAATCTAATGATAAATATATTTATAACATAAAGTTTGAAGGATTTTATTCTCACTTTCTGTTTATCTGCAATCATGTATGTTGTTGCCTTGATAGCCGTTATCTGTGCTCTGTGGTTATTGTAAGTATTCCTTCAAATAACGCTTGATTTTCTCATTCACAATTTTTAATACTTCATTCCTTTGCATTTTCTGCATCCAAAAGTTTTTGATACATCATGTTAAAAGTTTTCGCAAATTTCAAAATATGTAACAAAAACTTGTCATTATAAAAAAATGCAAAAATATAGGATTTTAAAATCGAGTTGTTCTCCGTTTTCTTTCTCTAAGTAAAAGGATCTGATGAATCAATTGAGTCATGAATCGCGAGAAATTTACCTCAATTGGTATTTTGGAATTTTTATCTGCATATTTCGTGAAATTCTTTTGGGTAATAATAAATCATATTAATTATCGATTGTGAGTCTTAATACTTGTGAAGTATTTTTTAACGGATGTTAAATATGAAGGACCTTAAAAGAAGAATGTAAAGGAAAGTGTACAGAATAATTTGAATACTATAGTTTTAGACGAAAATATGCCTTACTACTACAATTCTAACAGTCAAACTCTAAATAAAATTAAATAAAACAAGTGATGAACATTTTTGTTAATGAAAATTGCCCTTAGAACTAATAGCATACATCAATCTTATCATTCAAGTGGAAGATTAGACGAACGATTGATGAAATATTAAAAGCTTTTTTTTTCTCTCGCTTAACACTCTGCTTAGTTAGAAAAACTAAATAAAAACGGCTAGTTTGCATAAGGAATTTTCCCTAAAAAGTACTATTAAACTCATCGATTCAACTATTAATTTTTTTTCAATTTCATTGAAGCCTGCATAAATTAACCAATTTGATAACCAGTTGTGATTTTTGATAACCAGTTTGACTTGAGCTCAGTGGCTCAGGGGATAGAGCGTTCGCATTCCAATGAGGTGAACCGGGTTCGAATCCCTGCGATACGGACTCCGCTCGCACCAACCACAGTGCTGATGCAAAATATCCTCAGTGGTAGACGGATCATGGATCCCCCTGCCATCACTATAATCGTGGGAGGTTTTCGCGGTTTTCCTCTTCATGTAACGCAAATTCGGGTTAGTTCCATCAAAAAGTCCTCCACAAAGGCTCCCAATTCTTGATCCAAGAGGTTTTCTGGACTGGGTTCAAAATTATTAGTAGTCTCAATTAATTGGTTCAACTGTTCAACGACGGTTCTTGTAGAAGGTTCCATAATTTTGAGGCATGTTGATCCCTAACAAGATGAGAGGGCTTCTCAGCTCGGCTTAAGGATCTAAAAATAAATTATTATAGTAATTTCGGAAACATTTTGTGTTAGCTAAGAAATTTATAAAAATTGCAAATTTTAATGTTGAAAATTGAATTCAGATTTTTTAGAATACATAAGACGCCACACATTTTTTAAATACTCTCTAACACCACTCACAATCATAAGAAAACGTGGTTCTCTCAAGTGTTGAAAATAGTTATCGCTTTAAACATGAATTATTTTGTCCTGAAACTTTATGCATAAAAACAATCCCGATATACACTCAGTTAAGAATTTGAATTAACACAAAAATTGTTAAAAAAATTAAAATGTATTAATGTTGAGTTTTTTACTTTCAGATATAGAAAGAAATGGTTTTCTTTTTTCAAGGATTTGAACATTCCTGGACCAGAACCAAATTTATTGTTCGGAAACATTGTGGAAATTATTCGCAGAGTAAGTTTTAATTTCTATTATCAATTGCCATAATGATTTAAGGGTAGTTTTTTTTTTATCAATTGCCATAATCATTTATAGATAGATAATTTTTTTATCAATTGCCATAATAATTTAAAGGTAGTTTATTTTTTTATCAATTGCCATAAAGATTTATAGGTAGTTTATTTTTTTATTAATTGCCATACTGATTTATAGGTTATTTTTGATCAATTGCCATAATGATTCATGGGTAGTTTAACATTTTTATCAATTGCCCTAATGATTCATAGGTAGTTTATTTTTTAGGATCATTTCCCACATTGAAACTACAGAAAACAGAAAGGAATAAAGGAGGGGACAGAAATATTTGAACGGTTTTTAAACAGAAATTGAGAAAAAAATTACAAAAAATTATTAAAAAAAATTATTATAAAAAAAATGAAAAAAAAAATTAGAAAGAAAAAAAAACAAGTTAAGAACGAAATATTTAATCTCGCCTTCAACCCACACAATTATATCAGCAAAACTTAGTACTTTCTGATATTGTATTAATATCGAAAATAAAGAAAAAATAAACTGATTGGTTAATATTATTTAATCAAGTAAAAACAACACAGAAATTAAAAAAAAGAACATATAAAGAGGAAAGAGAAGAAGATGGACTGTACTTATGAAATTGCAAAAATGATTTAAGAATATATTTTCGTAAGTAAGTTGCCGGATTACAATTAAAGCGCCAAAGGAACACATTTAAAGTTAGTTAAAGCATAATATAGGGTGGAAAATGATTTTAAGGTATGCTCATACTAAAGTTAACTGATCTGATTAATGCGTTACTTTGAGAGGAAATTTTAGCTGAACACAAGGTAAAAACATATCAAAAATTATAAATTAATTTAAGGTCACATTTTAAATATAAAATTTCAATCGAAGATTTTTATCAAGATAATTGATATTTATTGAATAATAGTTAAAATTAATGTTGGAGGAGTTAGTTATAAAATTTGAAAGAATTTACACAGGTTTTAACTGTCGGTTGCAAGGTATTTTAATTTGCAATAAATTAATTTATTTTTAATCATTTTAATAATTCCCTGATTTTCTATTCAATTTAATTACTAGTTATTTAAATTCAAATTTTGGTCTATTTCTTTTTTAGATAAATAAATATTGCAAAACAATCTGCTAATTTGACTTAAAATAGTATTTATATAAATGTTCTTACAGAAGAAAGAAAATGTAGCAATCAATAAATATATTCTGTTTTAGAATCCTATACAATCCCATGCAGGTTGGCTTAAAAAATATGGAAAAGTTGTTGGGTAAGTAGCTTTCTTTATCCAAATTTATGAGATATATTAATTCCAAATTTTTAGGATCCAAATTTATTTACCATTTAAACTATACATTTGTCATTAAGCTTTATGCAATTTATATTTGATTGAGAAAAATTAAATATTATTAAGATTTGAAGATTCATGATCAAACTTTGCATAGGTAGTTTTAAAATCATCATCATCTCTCTCTCTCTGTATATACAGTGGTGGCCAAAAGTGAGGACATTTTTTGAAAGTTTCACATTTTTCAACTTTGTGTGCTTGTAGAATATATTAATTTTAGCTTAAATTCAATTGAAGGTAATTTAATTTAAAATTTAATAATAAATACAGTATTACAATATTTGTATTACAAAAAAAGTTATGCAACTAATAGTAAGATCTATCTTAGACTTACATTTTTTTTAAATGATACTTACACAATCAATACTTAGTAGGATAACCCGTATTTTTTAAGACAGCTTCACAGCGTGTTTTCATCGAGTGAACGAGTGTTTGGAGTTCATCTTTCGTAATCACATGGTGCCAAGAATCAATTATAGCTTCAATAAGTTGTCCTTTAT